CTCCTCGGCCGGCGGCGGCGGGGCGCGGCGGTTGGTGGAGCCCTTGCGCGGGATCGGTGGAGCACCACCGGTGTTGGCGCGTGGCTTGGCTGCGGCGGCCGGCGGCTTCTTGCCCGACGGCGGCGGCTTCTTGCCCGACGGTGGTGGCTTCTTGCCCGACGGCGGCGGCTTTTTTCCGCCAGGCGACGGCGGCAGCGCCTTGCCACCCTGCGGCGACGACGAGTTCTTGGCCGGAAGCGGCGGAGCCTTTTTGGCGGCCGGGTCGGCTGGCGTGGCTCCGCCACCGGCCTTGCGTGCCGCCATCTTCTTTTGCAGCTCGCTCATGCCGCCGCCAGCCATCAGCGGGTTCACGCCCATGGTCTTCTTCCGCGAGCGGTTTGCCTCGGGCGCCTCATCAGCCGGCACGTTGGTGACTGCCGGTGGCGGGCTCGAGCCCGACATGGCCGTCGCAATGGGCATGGCCGCCATGGGACCGATAGCCACCGCTCCGGGCGGCGGACCCTTCCGCTTGGTGGTGGTGGCCGCCGCCGCTCCACCCGGAGGCAAAGCCGGGGCTTTGTCCTTCGGCCTTGCCTTGGCCGAATTGGTGCTCTCGGCCTGGGCCGACGACGGAGTGGTAGTAGTAGCAGCAGCAGCAGGGGAGGAGCAGCAGCCTTGGACCGCTTGGGCAGCGGAGGAGGATCCTCGTTGGCCGAGTCATCGGCCTCATTGTACGGCTCTACAAAGTTTGAAGGAAACCAGCCCTTTTCTCCACGGGCCTTGCCGCCCTTGAGAATGACGCCGACCCACCAGCCAGCGTCATCATTGTTGAGGACTTGGATGATCTCTCCCACGTCAAACGAGAGCTCATCATCATTCTCAGCTGTGTAATCAAACACAGACTTGACCTTGATCGTCGCCATGTTGTCGTCGAGCAGAGAGTATCAAAGCACAAGCAGAGAGGAAGCCGAGCGAGCGTGAGCAGATTAGCCTAGCCTAGACGAGACGAGACAAGACGAGGCGAGTCGAGATGAGCCGAGCCGAGCCGAGCCGAGCCGAACGAGAAGGAAATGAGCACGTGCGAGAGTGCAAGGGTGTGTGCAAGCGAACGAGAAAGCGAGCGAGAGCTGGCGAGCTGGCGAGCGAGAGTGCCGAACGAGCGAGAGTGTCGAGTGTCGAGTGTCGAATGCGGGAGAGGCTTGGTGTGAGAGTGTGGGCTTGGTGACCTTTGTGATATCCAGGTCGTCACCACACACACGCGGGGGTAAGAGGCGGGGGGTCGAGGGGCGAGAAGGGGGTGAGGGGGGGGGCGGAGGGGGGCGGGAGGGGGGGGGGGAGGTGCCAAGAAGGAGAAGGTGTATACCACAGACACAAAGACAGACACACACACACACACACGGGAGAGGATGGTGTGTGTAGGGTTTGTGTATGGGGGGGGGGAGATTGGCGTCAAATGGGGGCGAGGGGAGGGCAACGTGCTCTGGCCGCTGGTCGTCATCGAAAGTGTCTGGTTGGTGGCGGAGTCGTCAGGCGAATTTCGCCGAACCCTGGGGAGCGAGGGGGGTGGGGGTGGGGGGTGGGGGGTGGGAGGGATACTTTTTTTTCTTTTCGTTTTGGTGGAGGGCACTATGTCTCTCTCTGTGCGCATATGTGTGTTGGTGTTGGTCATGGTGAGTACGCCTGCAGCCAAGTGATCTGGCTTGCCACGAGCTCTTCGGCGTCAGCATCGGCAAAGGGTGGCAGGCCGTTGATGACACCGTCGACAACAAGCGAGCTGGGAAGGACTGGCCCACCAAAGTAGGTTTCGGCCAGTGGGGCAAGTGGCGAGGTGGGTGAGCGCGCGAGCGATGTCTGCCACTCGGTGTATGGCGTGACAATGTCGTCCAGATCGACGCCGAGCATGGCGGCAACGCCGCGGCCGACAGCTGCAAAGGACGGTGGAGTAGGGTTGGCAACATGAACAACAGCAGCGTCTCCTACCCCACCGGCACTGCCATTCATCCCCGTGACCATCGCCAGCACCGCCCGGGCCGCGTCGTCGACAGGTGTCATTTCGAACCGCGCGCTGGGGGCAGACGACGGGAACGACCGCGCGGCCACGCAGTGGCGCACCAGCCGCGAGAGGTAGTCGCGCGGGTTGGTAAAGCCAGACCCACGCGCGCCACATAGATAGCCGCATCGCACCAGTGTGACATCGGCAGACAGCGGCGGTCGTGTCAGCAGGATCTCTGCCACCGCTTTGGTCCCGTTGTACCCGACAAACGCGCGCGGCTCGAGCTCGGCCAGTGCCGCCGGAAGAGTGGCCAAAGGCGTAAACGGCGGCAAGGTGCCGCGCTTGGCAAGGAGGCTGACGACGCCGATGGTCGAGACGTGGATGAGCTGACAGCATGAGGCGCTCGCCTCGGCCAGCGCCGCCACATATCGCACCGCGCCGACGTTGACCCTGGCAAGACTCGCGTACGGCAGCACCGAGTTGACCGCCGCACCGGCGTGGACAATGGCAGTAAACGCGCCCGTCCGCGCCCACAACGCCAACGTTGCAGCGCCCACGCCAAGGAACGGCTCGGCAAGATCGCCGCGCACCACACGCAGCCGGTCGGATGCCATCGCGGCGTCCATCGCGTCGTCCGCCACTAGCCCCGTTGTTCGCAACACCAGCAACAGCCGAGCTTCCGGCTCATCACCGCGTACAATGCAGGTGACTGCCACATCGTCTCCGGCGTCTGCAAGTACAAGCGCCACAAGCACGGCGCCAAGCAGCCCAGTCCCACCGGTGACAAGCAGCCGGATCGGAGGCAAGTTTGCGGGACGCGAGCCGCCTGCAGCGCCGTCGGCATCGTCCAGGGCGCGAGCCCAAATCTCGGCAGCACCAGGCTCTAGCGCACGCCCGCGCGCAAGATCGTTGGTGACTGCCGAGTCGCTGACAGCGCGCGCACTCGCGGCAGCAGCTTCATCGCCAGCCGCCGACGCCCGGATGACATCGGCGAGTGCCGTCAGGCTGTGCGCACCGACGACGTCAGCAACGGTGACCGAGACATCAAATGAGGCATTGATGAGGCTCACCAGCCGCATGGCTTCCAGCGAGTCGCCGCCGCGGGCAGCAAACGACGCGTCGTGCGAGGTAGCGGCGCCGTCGCCGGCGACGAGACTCCTCAACACAGCCAGTGTGCCATGGATCACTGATCCTTGCTCGGCTTCAAAGGCGGCCGCGGCTGTAGCCATAGCGTGGTCAAAGTGGGCGCGAAGCGTGGATCGCGCCAGCTTACCCGACGGCGTAAGGAGGCCTGGAACGTCGGCAAACGGCGTTGGCGCCAGAACAACGGCGAGCGGAATCTCGTGCGGGAGCAGGCCGCCAGCGGTGCCAGCACGGACCAGTTCGGCTGCCAGGTCGCTCTGCAAGAGATGAGCAGCGCTCGCAGCTGGCACGACGACGGCGATCAGGTACGAGGCAGCCGGCGATCCGTGGACAAAGATAGCAGAGATCGAGGTTGCGGCACCGAGGAGGACGCCCTCGACGTACTCGGGCGAGACAAACTCACCCTGGGCGAGCTTAACAAAGTTCTTGCAGCGGTCGATGATGCGGATGGAGCGCGGACCGAGGAGCTCGACAACGTCGCCGGTGGCGTAGAAGCCGTCGTTGGCGGCGTTGAAGGCATCGACAGCAGCTGCAGGGTCTACCGCACCGACGTAGGCCTTGGCCATGCTCGGGGTGCGGACAAGGAGCTCGCCGCGCGGATGCGGCTTGTCGGTGGCGAGGTAGCCCATGTCGGGGACGTCGCGGAGACGGATGGAGACGCCGGGGACGATGCGGCCGTTGGTGGCAATGGAGCCGACCTCGGTCGCGCCGTATCCGTCGTTGACCGAGGCCGAGAAGGTGTCGATGAGCCAGGCAAGGACTGCCGGCGGCGTGCTCGCTCCGCCCGTGGTGATGTACCGCAGCGAGCCGCCAAGCCGGGCGTTGAATTGCGACTTGATGGCGGCCGGATCGGCATCAGGCGCGGCGATAGCATCCTGGAACTGCTTGTACAGCATGATCCACAGCCGTGGCGTCGACGCAAACATGGTGGGCCGGACAGCTGCAAAGATGTCAAAGACCTGCGCAGGTTCGCCGGTGTAGAGCGCGACTCGGCCGCCGCGGACGAGGGTGTTGAGCGAGGAGCGGCGGTCGAACATGTGGGCGAGCGGCGCGTAGGATATGGTGACCAGCGGATCGGGCACGGCCTTGGGCTTGACCACGGCCTCGGTCCAAGCAGCCACCGGTACGACTACGCCCTTGGGCATGCCTGTCGAGCCCGAGGTGGCGATGATGGTGAGGACCGGGGCGTCGGCGTCGGGGCGATCTAGCTGGCGACAGGCACCAGGGCGACACGGCGCAAGCGCATCGTGCCGGACTCGTGTCGTGGCTAGGCTCTGCATATCCACCATCGACGCCACAACGCACCCGGTGGCGTTCCGCAGCTCTGCGCAAGCAGCCTCGAGCTCGGCAGCGCCGACAGCGTCGACGTCAAAGACGAGAATGTGGGTGAGAGCTTGGCGAGTGGAGCGATCCGAGTCGACGAGGACGGGAATCCACGGCCGGATGGAAGAGTAGCCGAGGCAGAGCAGTGTAGGATGTGTTGATGCGAGGATGTGACGGGCGACCGGAGGAGCGAGCGTGTAGTGGATGGGGACGGAGACAAGGCAGGTGGCCATGGCGGCGTAGTCGATGAGGAACCAATCCAAGCAGTTCTTCCCAACGATAGCAAGGCGACGAGAAGGAGATAGCGATGGAAGCCATTGTTGCAGCGCAGCGCAAAGGCAACGTCTGCGATCATGACGCTCATCTCCAAGTGCGATAGCCAGCGATAGTCCTGTTGGGCGTGGTGGGCGAGGTGATCAATATTGCTATGATCATCATGATCGTGACAATCAGCATCGTGGTCATGGTGATCGAGTGCCAGGCCAAGCGCTGGCCAATCTCCCCAGAGCGAGCAGGAAGCTGCGAGAGCCGAAGGAAGACAGCAGCCAGCCGTTTGCTCGACCTCGGCTTGGACAGCAAGGTTATGAGCAGGGAGCCATGCAAAGGTATGGTGAGGCCCATGCGAGTGGGTGTGACCTTCTCTCGCACCGGCCTCGGCGCAATCGATGCACACATCAAACGATGGCTCGCCGAGACAGTGCCAATGACCACCCACAGGAATGGGCTGATAACACACATCGCAATGGTACGAGACGCATCCTTTGCTCGTCGAGCTTGGTGCGGACTGGGGTTGGCTCAGGCGGTGTATCGCCGATTTGGCGGCCGTCTTGAGTCGTCGGAGCATGCCGATCCGAGTCGTGACCTGATGAGAGTCAGGTGTGATTGTAGTTGCCAGAAAGGTAGGAGCAGCCTGATGAGAGACATTGCAGAGGGATGGTGCACATCTGTTGCACATCGAGCTTGGTGTAGACTGGGGCTGCTTTGGACGTTGTAGAGGCGAGCGAAACAGGTGCTTTAGGACGACCATCGATGCCGGATTGCGGCCGGGTGGCCACAAGCAGTCCGACCAAAGAGAGCTGTATCAATCCACATTAGGTAGAGATCGTGCAAGACGGCGATGTTGAGTGGGTACTGGTCTATGCGAAGAGTGACGGCATGCTTGTGTAGCCATTGCAAGTCGACATGATTGGTGATCTTTTACGCGCTGCCGCTCACAGTCCCGACGTAGAGCTGTTGTCAAAGCTCCAGGGATCAGAGTCGCTCTCCTTCCCGCCGCTGTCACCGACGGAAATAGTGCGGGGCGAGGCGGGAAGGTCGGAGATCGCACTTGATGACGAACTGACAGTCTTGTCGACGATGTCAGTAGCAGCTTGATCGCGAGAGAGGGTGCTGCTCGAGCCGTCGTTGCCGCTATCCTCGAACTGGCCATCGTCGCTCCCCTCTGAGATGCACATCGACGACTCGGACGCCATCGGTAGCAGCAGGACGGCGTGCTCGCGGATGGTAGGCAGTTTCTCGAGGGTTGACGTCGCAGTCATACTCGTCGCCAATGGGTCGATGCCTGCGGCGTCGGACTGATGCGAGCTGTGTGGCACGTTAACAGACCAGGCGTCAGGATGCGCCTTGGCCGGTACTGCCCCATCAACCACGGCCGTGTCGGGGACAGGACGCGCACTCGCATCATCTTTGCTACGTCTGTTGCAGCAGACGTAGACGGCCCACCACCATGCGCAGCAGAGGCACAAGGTGACGGCAAAGGAGATAACAATGCTGACGACGGTCGGGAGGTTTCCATCCGAGGAAGAGTCGCTCGCCTTGCTTGCCGACGTGGCAACTGGCGGCGGCGGCGGCGGCGGCAGATCGAGCCGAGGCAGCCAGATGGTCGACGCGTCAGTAGCAGGCGTCCAGCCAACGACGATGCGCATCGGCGTCATTTCAGCGTGCGCGACGCGACGCGACCACAGCTGGGCAGCCATAAACATCTCGACAGAACTGTTGGCGTACGCGGCGCCAAAGAGGAAGGCGGCCGACCCGGCATCCTCCCATGAGGCTGACGCCACATCGTAGACGTAGCCGACACCGTTTTCGATCTTGGCCACAGCGGCCAGGCCATCAGCGAGAGGGAAGCCACCTTCGATTGCATCCGCCACGTCGCTGGGCGCAAAGTACACGACGTGGCGCGCACCAGGTACCGAAAGATCAATAGACTCACCGCTGTTCTCGGTCCATCCACCCATAACGGCGTTATCGTTGGCGTAGGCGAGGACGATGGGGCTTCCACCTGTGCTGCGGCTAGCGATAGCCGCCGATTCGGCCACGATGCGGGAGTAGCGGAAGCGTGGAAGATGTTGGACGTCGTGGGGGGTGGTTCGCCTTTGGCAGGTAGAGCGGTATCAACCACAGCGAGTTGTGCCCCAGTGGATAAGTTGGCTGAGCCACATTCAGCGGTTTTCTGACTGAGTTGTTCCGTCGAGTGATGGAGCTGCCGAGCAGCAGGCGGCGGCGAGCAGTGGCGACACCCGACGCGCCAACGACATGCTCAGTGCGGGGCGCGGGCGTTCGAGCCTTGTGGTACAGGCATGCGTGAAAAAGGTTTGGAGACATAGTTCCATGGCGAGCGGGTGTTCAAGGAAGCCACTGGGTGCATTGTCGCTGCCAATGGCTCGTCCGGCTTTCGCATGGCCTCACCAGTCGGTGGATGGGCTGCTCTCCGGGGATGGACCTCAATCATCGATTAACTCATTAAGACCATCGATTATTTTGCCGACGACCTCGCCGAGCTCGACGACGACCTCGACGAGCTTAATGACGACCTCGCCAAGCTCGACGATATCTTCATCAAGACCATCGATTATATCATCGATGTCATCGATTCTCTCGTCAAGCTCATCGATTAACTCACCGAGCTCATTGGCCGCCACGGCGCACCGATCCATGGCCATGACCTCGCAGCTGTCAATCACTACCTGCTCGCCATTGCTTGCGGCGAGGAGTGTGGCGACGTGGTCGGGCGGATGGCGCGGAATGGCTACCACAGCTGGTCGTCCTCCGACGGGCAAGGCAAGGCGGCAGAGGGGGAGCAGGGGTCAGGCGGGCGGAAAGCGCAAGGCATCGATTGCGCACAACGCCGAGCTGGTCAAGGCCAAGACGCCAGACGCAGTCCTGGCTCTGACAGCGGCTGCGGGCGAGAAGGAGGACGCCATCAATCGAGCCTCGGCGCTCTTCCGTATCGCCAAGACGTTCATGGGCTCGGTCAAGGCGATCACCCCGTCGGCCGCATCGCTCGACACGCTGGAGCGGATGCATCCGTCGCTGCGGCGGCAGGCCCGAGTCCTCACCGCTGACCCGCGCTACGTTGCACTGATGGACCGCATCGCGGGCGATGTCCGCAATATGTCGGTCCGCCAGGCAGCGTCTGTGGCGTGGGGCCTCGCCCGGCTGTACGACAACCGCGCGTACGGCGGCGACGAGGTGGCGCTCCTCAGCCGGGTCCGCGACCAGTTTGGCGCCGAGATTGCTCGCGCAGCAGGACGCGGCAAGGGTGGCCTCGCCCGTGAGCACGACACCTCGGTCGGCATCGCCATGTGGGCACTCGGCAAGGTCGGGGCGGTCGACGGCAAGCTGGCGGATGCGCTTGTGGGCGGACTCTCGCCGCAGCTGCAGAGCCACTCGTCCGAGACCCTCGTCTCGGTGGTGTGGGCGCTGGCCAAGACGCCTGCGACGTCTGAGTCGCCTGCAGTTGTCGAGTTTCTGGCCGAGTCGCTCGATGAGCTCGGGCGCCGGGCGAAGAGCTTGCCCAACGCCTCGCTCTCGCTCATGGCTTGGGCCGGAGCCAAGCAGGCCGTCGACGCACCGGTTTTCTTCTCGGCCCTGGAGAAGACGCTCGCCGAGCGCGATCTCGCTCAGTTTTCGACCCAGTCGCTGACCAACATCCTGTGGGCCTTTGAGCAGACGGCGCACTTTCTCCCACACCTTTCACCGCGGCTGATGGCGGCGATGGAGGCCAAGCTCGCGCAGCTGTCGGCCACAGACGTCTCGCATCTGTACCTCTGGCTGGCGCAGAGCCAGCTGCTCTCGGAGACCTTCACCCAGCGGATCGTCTCGCGGGCGCTTGAACTACTTCCAGTCATGTCGAACATCGAGCTGACCAAGGTCCTTCTCGCTGTGGCCAACGATGAGTCGGGCTTCTTCGCCTCGATGGCCGCCGAGGGCTCGGCCGACAAGCAGGAGGTTCTCCAGGCGTTTGCAGTCGAGGCCGAGTCGCGACTTGCGCTTCTTGACCCGGTCGAGCTCGCCATGACAACCTACGGCTTTGCCAAGGCCTCGTTTGTGGCCGTCCCGCTCTTTGACGAGTTTGCGTCGGCGAGCTTGCGGCGGATCGGCGAGTTTGAGCGCCACTCGCTGGCCCAGCTGGCGTGGGCGTACGCAGCCAACGGACACCACTCGGATGAGCTGATGACGGCTATCGAGGATCGCGCGGTGGCACTGGTGCCTGGTTCGACAGCATCAGACCTCAACATGGTGCTCTCGGCCTTTGCGAAGCTCAACCACCCGGCGCCACGGCTGTGCAAGGTCATCGCCAACGAGCTTGCCAAGAGCCGGACGCTGCGTGATGGGCTCGCTGGTGAGTTTGACACGCGGGCGGCCACCTTTCTCGGCTGGTCGTACGCGGTCCTTGGCGAGTGGTCGCCCGAAGTCGCCGACCTCGTCCTCCACCACATGTCCACCTCGGGTGCGCGCGCCTTGCTCTCGGACGAGTCGTGGATGCAAGTGTACCAGTTTGAAGCCGCATTCCGCGAGGCCTCGGCCGCCGCCGTCCTTCGCGGCTATCGCACCCAGTCGATGCACGCCTTTGCCATCGAAAAGCCCGCGTACTCGTCACAGCTCCACCAGGAGGTGTCGACCGTCCTCGATCGGCTCGGCATCGAGCACGAGACCGAGCACGTCACGGATGATGGCATGGCTGTCGTCGACATTGTCATCGACGGCCCGCAGCCCTCCGCGCCACGCATTGCCATCGAAGTCGACGGCCCGCTGCATTACTGCTCTAATGTGCCCCGCCGCGAGCGCGGTCGCACTGTCGCCAAGCGCCAGCTCCTCGAGTCGTCGGGCTATGTCGTCGTCCACATCGCTTACTTTGAGTGGAACGAAGTCGGCTCGGACGCCAGCAAGGAGCGTCTCCTCCGACGCAAGCTTCAGATCGCCAATCTCGCCGCGTTTTCGCACGAGCCCGTCATCGACGCCAAGACGCGCGCCGCCGCTACTGCTGGTGCCACCGACGAGGCCGAGCCTTCGCTCTTGCGGCGGCTGGTGCGAAAGTGGGTGTTTGGCGACTCGTGAGCCGAGCCGCAAGTAGTGAACAAAGCTGATGTTGTATGGGAGGATGCCGGCATCAACGTCTCCAACAGCGGCAAGAACATCACTAGCAAGGCGTTGATCGCCATCGGCGGGTCGTGCACCTTGCTCAAGTTGGTGGATGCATCGAGAACCGTGGCTGTGACCGACCAGTGGCCAGGGTGAGGGAGCGATCGGCCAGTCGTATGCAAGTTGAGATGGCGATGGAAGGCGGGCATCAGCTTTGTTGAGTGCACAGTGGGGGTTCATGGCAGCCAGCTCGCCGACGAGGGATCTGCGGTCGTCCGACTCGGGGGAGGTGAGGCCCATGGGATGGGGATCGTTTGTGGTTGGCTTTTTAGCGTCGGCCTTGGGGGCGTCGGATGGGTGGCTGAGGAGGGGCTTGGAGGCCGAGGCGAGGGTGAGGCGGTAGATCGGGCTGGAGAGGATGTCCAGCATACGTGTGTGTGTGTGGGCCGTGTGCTCGTTTGCTGGGAGACGGCGCGGCATGTGTGGCTCGGGTGTGGCGATGGGAGAGGGAATGGCCGGGGTCCGACTGAGGCATGGATGTGGTCAGAGTGTGCGCGATCTGGCGACGACGAGTCTGTGGAGGGGTGATGGCATGTGCTCGCTGTCGTCGAGCAACCGGATGTCCCATTCGTCTGGACGGCGCAGGGCATGGCTTTGTTGCTTCCGCTGTTAGCTTGATGGCGAGCTGGAACCGCAGCGCGCTCTTGACGACGAACGACGACGTTGCATCGACTGCCAGGGCGGTGGTGTCCAGGCTGCTGTGCGGCTGTGGTGGACGGAGCGTGATCGGCTTGTTGTTTGCCCAGCCCATGAACGGCGTGGCAGTCGTCATGCCAGCGGTACCGTCGGCGAGGAGGACGATGGCGTTGGCGTCAGCAGCACTCGGCTGCGAGCGAGGGTGCGGTCGGCATGTGCAACGCCTCGATGGCAGAGGTCAGATTGCGGCCGCGGGGCGTGAGCCAGGGTGCGTGCGCGGGCGGCGGCGATGAGGACAACGGGCGAGGGACATGGGTGGGGTTGGCAAGGTACGTCGTTGTCAGGTAGAGGTAGCACGACGCCCAGCAAAGAAGAGCTGGCCGGCTGACCTCGCTTGATCGAGGACGGTAAGGAGGACTGGCGGAGGCGGTGGGGAGGTGTGGGGGAGATCGGGATAAAGGAGGACAGAGTGTTGATGTGCGATGAGGGGTGATTGGATTGCAGAGGACGGCAGGTGATGGGGTTGATGGGATGGATGGTCGGGCGTGGTGGTTGCAGGAGAGCGATGACGGTTGTGTGGCGGATGTGCGAGGCATAGTTGTGCTCGGCGCATGTATCTGGGTCTCATCTTCAGCAGCTGGAGGGCGCAGGCAGCGCCATCTGGCAATGTGTGGATGGCAGGCAGGTTTGGGGCGACGGCCAGTGCATGTGGGTGTTTGGGCTGGGACTGGGATGGGTGGTGTGTGTGTGTGATGGCGGGGGGTGGGTGGTGAGGTTGCGTGATCAGGTGAGAATTTGTGATCAATGGCTGGCTGGCTGGGGGGATGGGGATGTGGGTATGGCGAGCAAGTGGATGTGGATGCATGCGCATGTGTGTGTGGGGGAGGTGTATGGTGATGATGATGGTGGTGGTCGGCTTCGCGACGGCTGGCGAGTGATGGCAAGCGTGTCGAGGCTGGACGGGGGAGGTGCAATAACCATAATCACCCCCCAGGCCCCGAACAACTAATTCCGACCAAGTGCACCACCTCACCACCCCATCACTCCCATCCACAATATGCATCCCCACAGCCACCACAAACCAAGTGGTTTGTCAATTTCTGTGGCCAAACTCGTGGTGGGGAGAGAACTGCTATCACAATGTGTGAAAACAGTCAACTTCTCCCAACCCACCGAGGCGGGCAACCCCTCACGAGCACTGGCGTGGGTCCGGGCTCTGGCTCTACGGCCAGGGCGCGGGCGCAGGCTGAAGCTAACAGCGGCAGCGCATGATACCAGCTAGAGACCGCGGCGACTTGGCAAGCAAGACGGCGCGGCATGGCGGGAGAGTGGGCTTGTTGAGTTGCACTGATGGCTCTTGCGAGCTAGGACAGGGCAAGTGGAGGAAGGAGCCGGTTGAGCGGAGTGGCCAGGTCAAGCTGGTGCTGGGCGAGGCCGGGAGACCCGGGGCGTTGGGCAGGGGGCGTCGGAGGAAGCTCCGGCGGGCTCTGTGATGCGCTTGAAGAAGACCGGGGCTGAAACGAACTGTGGTTGAGAGAGAGCCAGCAGGGAGGAGCGGGGTGCAGAGATGTGCGTCGTTTGTTTCTTGTCGAAAGAGTACTTGACTTGAGTCGTAAGAAGCAGTGCGTGAGGTGGATGTGTTTTTGGAGGCTGGGGGATGGGGGGAGAGTGAGTGACCAAAATTTTTGCCCCCCTTCGGTCACTCAAAATGCCACTTTTCGAACGATTTCTGACGCTCTGCGGGGCTAGGACCCGGTAAAACGGGCCTAGCAGGCGCAGACAAGGAGAGATACCTGGTTGATCCTGCCAGTGGTCATATGCTTGTCTCTAGGACTAAGCCATGCACGTATAAGTGTAAGCGATTTACAGTGAAACTGCGAATGGCTCATTAAATCAGTAATAGTCTCTTTGATGGAAGCCGCTACATGGATAACCGTAGAAAATCTAGAGCTAATACACGCCAAGGAGTCATGGCCTAGCATTTTTGCTGGGGCGTGCGGTATTTATTAGAGGCCAAGACGATGGCGCACTTGTGTGTCTTCTTTGGTGAGTCATGATAACTGTACGAATCGAGGGCTTGTTCGCAAGCGTCGATGGTTCATTCGAATTTCTGCCCTATCAACTTTCGATGGTAAGATAGAGGCTTACCATGGTGGTTACGGGTGACGGCGAATGGGGGTTCTATTCCGGAGAGGGGGCCTGAGAAACGGCCACCACTTCCAAGGAAGGCAGCAGGCGCGCAAATTACCCAATGGCGACACGCCGAGGTAGTGACGAACAATAACGATGGGACCCCCTTTGGGGGCCCCAATTGGAATGAGTACAAAGTACAAGCCTTAACGAGGAACAATTGGAGGGCAAGTCTGGTGCCAGCAGCCGCGGTAATTCCAGCTCCAATAGCGTATATTAAAGCTGTTGCGGTTAAAAAGCTCGTAGTTGGATTTGAGTCTAGTTGCGGCCGGGCTCAGGGCTTTGACTCTGGGGCGGGCGTGTAGACTGTATGCGCGCGAGGAGGCGCAGGGGAATTTCTCTGCGGACTCGTGTGCTTTACTTTGAACAAATTAGAGTGTTTAAAGCAGGCATTTTTTGCCTTGAATACATTAGCATGGAATAACGATTTTGACTGGAGCAGGCATGATGTTGTCTTGATGACTGCGCAGTAATGATGGATAGGGACGGTCGGGGACATTCGTATTGCTCCGTCAGAGGTGA